GCGGGGCCCCGAGTTGACGCCTCTCTCCCTATGAGTCTCTCTACTGGTCACCCCCGCGGCCCTGATCATCCCCGTCGCGAGGTGAGCCCCAGTGCGTCCGCATCCCCGCCGCCGCCCCCGCCGTAGCTGACCCCCCACGGTGTTGTGGTCGTTATTTCTCGCGCGACGTGTCCGTCCCATTCGGTTTTCGTATGCAAATCTCGGGGATAAATAATCTCCCACAAAGCCCCCCCCCCCCCACTCTCTCGGGGCCGCTCTGGCGATAACGCTCCACCCGCTCCGCATTGTTTTCGTTGGCTTGCTCGTCTTTGACCACTGTAGTATGATAGTGCCGCCCGCGGGGCAGTGACAGGGGCCCAGCAAAGGGGCGGGGGCGTGGGAGGCGAGGCCGGCGAGGGGATCCGTCCGAATGTGACACACCCCGTGACAGCCAGACTAGGGCATCTGTGTATAATCGGTGTTTAGTTAAGTTTTTTGATCAGAGACTTGCACTAATTTGTTTAAGGTTCGGCGCTCTGAGGTGAACCTCACCAGAGTGCAGCGCTAGCGATAACGCGCGGGCGCATGCCGCGCCTCCAGACCCCTACGCAGGCCTTTGCTCCGGTGCCCCTCGAGACATTTGAATTAAACCGCCAGAAGTATAGTTTGCGAAATTTCGCGATCGCTCCGGGTGCGGCGTGGGAGTCATGCAGCTTACCTCAAGAGTCAGGCCGATGTGCCTGACGGGTACGGTGGGCACGGCCACGGCGGTGACGTTGTCCTCCCACACGGCGGTCGAGGACGGCGGCGTTGACGAGTAGGGGCCGGCGGCCAGCAGCAGGGTGTCGTTGACCAGGGCGGCGGCCGCCGCGGCCCCCGGCCATGGGCTGCCGTTGAGGTCCATGCCGCTCACTGCCGCCACTTGTTGTGCTCGGCGGGCGCGCGCTCCCGGCCGCGCTCCTGTCCCTCGCGCCGCGGACGCGTGCCGCTCATGACGCCAGGCTGCGCGGGACTGACGCGGCCGGCCGGCCGCACGGCCAGCGCGGCGAGGGGCGGCGGGGGAGAGCAGCGAGGGGGCGAGAGGTGAGAAC